GAAGGTTGAAGGGTTGGAGCGTTGGAAGGTTGGAAGGTTGGAGGGTTGGAAGGTTGGAGGGTCGGAAGGTTGGAGGGTTGGAAGGTTGGAAGGTTGGAGGGTTGGAGGGCTGGAGGGTTAGAAGGTTGGAGGGCGTGGCTGGAGGGTTTGAGGATTGGAAGGTTGGAGGGTTGGAAGGTTGGAAGGTTGGAGGGTTGGAGGGTTGGAAGGTTGGAGGGGAGGGCTGGAGGGTTGGAAGGTTGGAAGGTTGGAGGGTTTGAGGGCTGGAGGGTTAGAAGGTTGCAGGGCTTGAGGGTTGGAGCGATGGAAGGTTGGAGGGCTGGAGGGTTTAAGGGTTGGAGGGCTGGAGGGGTTGGAAGCTGGGATGGTTCCGGATGTTTAAAATCAACGGTGGCCCCCCCAATTCTTTCGCGGAGGTAGTGTAAAAGATTTGTTCAACCTATTTAGAGATCCGGGTACTTAAAAATTGGCGCCGTAGTAATTGTACTACTAATACTGATGCCATCAGTGCTAATAAAAGAATGACATTATTTACTTAGATATTTCATAATAGGAAAACTACAGAGCGGCGCCGTGACGGCGCCGATGGGGTGCCAGCACCAACACTATTCCGATTACTAGGACGACTATTAGCAAATCTATTACTAATACTTATGCTATCATTGCTAAGAAGAGAATGACATTATTTGCTTACATATTTCACGACAGGAAGATTACAGAGCGGCGCCGTGACGGCGCCTCCAGGGGCGGCGCCGTCACGGTGCCGTGCCATCACCAATATTAGTATTACGATTACTAGGACGACTATTTTTGCAGTTCTAGGGTGGTGTAATGTAACATTGTAGCAGAAACCCTGGCTGGCAGCCGAAATCTCTTTCACGCTGCATGAGGGAAAGTTGGCGAAACGCCGCGACGCGACGCATAATACTGCGGGTCACCAGTGGTGTTGTGTGCTTGTTGTGGGCTAGTATAATGTCATGTTGTGACAGGGTTTCAGGATGGCAGCTGAAAGACTTGCAACAGCGTTATATCACGGGTCCTATAACTCTTTGAATATTTGCTGCGAATAAGATCCCCATATAATACCCCATGTTAAGGATTGAGGCTTAGAGCTTACGGTTTAAAAAAACGGTTTAGTAAAGTTTTAAAAATACAGCTTGTGGTTTAAGGTATAGGAGGAATGAGACACACCAGCGTCAACCCTAAATCTTTATAATCCCCTTTAAGTAAATAGAATATGGCTTTGAAAATATTATCATAACATCCCCATATACCCCATGTTGTATGTACTTAAGGGACACTAGAACTATAACCCCAAAGCCTGAGCCCTAAACTAAACCACGTTAAAACCAGTTCAACTTTGAAAGCGTGCAGCCATTCCCTGGTAAGGGCTTATGGTTCATGGCTCTATTAAGGTTTAGGATCTACTCCTAAATCAAGAGTCCCGAAATCAGTGGACCCCGAAAAAGACCAAAATACGATGAGCCTTAATATGAGGAGTCCTAAAAAGATCTCCCTCAGTTTTGGGAAACCCTGAACCTTAAGCCCTAACTCTAAACCCAGTATAACCCCATCTCAAAAAAAAAGCAACATGCCTGATGCAGGCGGTTCCAAAGCCAGCAACTGGATACATAGCGCACCAGCAAAAAAAAAGAACGCCAAGTGGCAGTATCTCAGGTTTTCCCGGGGCTGGAGCGGGATTTATACGGCAATAGTCAAGGATTTATCAAAGATTTTGACAGTATAATATAGGATTCTCCAATTGTGAAGAAGCACCTTTTGAAGCGTGATCATTGGTGTTTCTATGATTGTAGCGTAGGAACCCTATGGTGCTGCCGGGGTCGCACAAACGCCAGATGATGAAGCCTTGTACATTGCGCACGTGATGGGCTCCAGCAAAATCAAGGACAAGAACTACATGGACAAACTACGGAAAACGACCATTTATCGCCTGATCGATGGTGTGGCTGCTGGTGTTCCCTATGATCCTCAGCTTCCCGAACCTGATGGTCCACTGGATGAAGAATAAGCCCCTTCCGGTTGTGTCCAGGCTTTTGCCTATCTTTGCAGGAGGAGAAAAGAGCATGGAATGAGGTCAGGAACATCAACAAGCCCGGCATTAGCCTGACAAGGACAAGAAAGATGATAAAAGGAAAGACAACGAGACAATAAATAAATGAAGGAGAAGGAGAAGGAACACAAGAAGAAAGGTCGTCATAGGGACAAGGAATTGAAGAATGGAGAGTAAAGAAACGGAAAGGAAACACGAGGACAAAAAAGAACCGGAGGAACTCGGTCTCCCAGTCATTCTGACAGCCAAGGAAAATGATCAGGGAAATCACTGATGTTGTCTGACTCCCTTGTGTCACCAGCCAGCTAGTTGAGGCCTGCCTGGTTCGTTATTAGCAGCCCTTCCTAACAACAGTCTTCAATGCGTGCGGATTGCAGGCTATGGCCATGGGTTTCTGACTTGATTCCATGCACGTGGGTTGGGTCTTTGCCACTTTTATACGAATTTTTGAGCATCATCGATTGGATGTCTTTGTGCTGGGACACGGTTTATGAGCGAGCCTGCAGTGCTCAGATTTATTTCAAGTGCTGTATTTGAGTGCGTACTATGGCTTGCGATTGCAGACTAAGTTTGGCTTGTAGGTTCCCCAGAAGTTTGTAAAGACTCATAACGTCTCATAGCGCTTTGGTGCCATTGCAATGCTTGATTGTTTTGGCATCAGGGTCTCAAAAAGCCTCTCTGCGTTGCGGAATCATCGTTGTTTTACAGAAATCCGACCAAATTTGAGCGTAATGTGTATGGTTCTCAGGGATACTCTCGGTCGGAATAGACCCCTCCCGCCCCTGAATTGTCGTACCATTCCCGCGGATGTTGTGATGATAGCTTGTATGGATGCTGATGAGCTTGCGCAGCTTGCAGGCTCATGAAGCATCAGCCGGAACTTCAGGTGGGGTGTTGGGAGTTGTTGGGAGTAGATGACAGCTGCATGCTTCCTTTCTCAAACATGAGGCGAAGAACAGGTGGACCAGGACTCGTCATTTTCACCGATCTCTGGTGCAATGCTCACCCCGAAGGAGCTGAAGGCTTTGGAAGAACAGGTCAAAACTGACCAGGCCACCGCACACAAATGCACAGCCTGATTCGGCAAGATTTCAGATACCGTCAATCAATGTTCTTTTGGAGTCATCCTGTGAGCCCTTTTGCAAGCGCAGAGACGCGTGTTTCCGGTACCATGGCCATGCAACGGTTGAGGTCTAACTAATGAATGGTGGGATCGTCCGGAGACGGGGTGGGCTACAGTGCCAGCGCTGCATAATTAAGAAAATCCTTTTCCGGGCAGGGTAATCTGATTTTCTTATTCTTTAAGCCGCTTGCGCGGGCGAATTTCAGGGTATCTGTCATGTCAGGGCAGTCTGGTGTTCTTAATTGTGTTTTCTGAATTTCAAGCCCACGTGTCACGAATAAAGCCGCACCTTCCAAATGCCACACGATACTTATGTCTCTGTCTATGCATAAGAAACCAGACTCTGGGATGTTCCTAGTTACGCTTGTTTCGGGCCAGCTCTGATTAAGAAAGCCAGACTCTTGGATGTTCTTGTGTTGATAGTTTTTGGCTCTCCCAAGGCTTCCAGGGCCTCGCAAGACTTCCCAGGACGCCAGAACCCTCCAAGAATCTTCCAGGACCTCCTGGGAATCCCAGAAAACTTCTCACCCCAAAACGGACCCCGGGGCCAGGGCACTCTGGGTTTTGTATTTTTTCTTGTTGTAGTCCTGCTAGTAGTTTCAGGCAATGGGCCCTCACGAGACTCTCACTTTCCTATTCCAGTGTTTTCTTAACTAGTACTCACTGTACCAGAATGCACAGCAGAGCGGCTGGAATGTGCTTCGCATTTGCGTGCAGCGTTCATGGCAAGCAGACCTTTCAGCCCAGCCATGCCAAGCTCAGTTTGCTAAACATATCTCAACATGGCACCCGAGATGACGAGATGCAGGTGGTGTGAGTCATTGTGTGTGTTGTGCTACTTTCGCTTCGTCTGAGAGGCATCCCGAGACAGGCTTGAGCGTTGGTTGCGGGAGCTACCACAGGCCCGGACAAATGCTGCCATCGCATGTGAAAAACTGTTAGCCTCAGGACAAGTTCGGCTTTGCAACCTTGCGAGACAAATGCCTGGAACACAAGACATCAGAGCTTGGTGCTTGGAAATTGGAAGGCAATAGATTTTCCGACAGGTTTCAGCAAGGTGCTCGCACGAGGCATCTAGCATCAGTGCCCATATGCATGATCGATAGAAAGCGATAGAAAACACAAAGAAAAAATCAGAACCCCAAGCCCAGGGCAGGATGCAGCGAGGGAGCCACAGGGAGGCTCACTTCGAGAAATGCGGGTCTCTGTTGTGATAAGTTACAATCCGGCAGTAAACACAGTAAACACTTGTGTTCCACCCCTTACTAGTTGGTGGCGCGTACAAAATGCCTTGGAATAAGCTCAAGTTGACAGATTTTTGTTGTTTTTCAGCAAACATTGACCAGTGCAACCACGCCCAAACCATGATACCATTTAATGTGTTTCAAGTGCAGAGGGGGTGACCAGTGCATCCATGCCTAAACTACGCATAATAAATGATGTTCCAAGTGCATAAATGCCCAAACCAAAAAACATTCGTGTTCCAAGTGCATGAAGTCATAACCGTCAGAATAACAAGCGGCTTGTTCCAAGTGCATGCAGTGACCAGTGCATCCGTGCCTGGACCATACCAATGTTTGTGCATCCATGCCGCGACCATAATAATGTTGATTTCAAAAGAACACGTTGCCCAGCGCATCCATGCCCAGACCATAGTACAGTAACGTTCGTGTTCAGTGTATATGCAGTGAGCATCCATGCCGGTCCATGACCAGAAAAATGCTTGCGTTCCAAGTGCTCACGGTGACCAGTGCATCCATGCCTGAACCAGAACAACGTTTGGGTGTTGCATTCAGACCCAAGCCAGAAGAACGATCTTGTTGCACGTACATACGGCGACCAGTGCATCCATGCCCGATCCATAATGACGTTCGTGTTCCAAGTGCACACATTGCCCAGCGCATCCATGCCCAACCCATGATAGAGTTTATGTTCAGCGCATATGCAGTGAGAAGCGCGTCCCCTCCCAAACCAGAATAACCTTTGTCTTTGAAGCACATACGGTGACCCGCGCATCCATGCCTACTATGTTTCCAACATGCGTGCTAGGTGCTAGGCGCATGTTGGCCAGCACCGTACGGCACCCAAGTCAAGCCCTTTGTTACACAGATTAGGAAGAGCCTCTTTGCATTTGATTTTAAGTAATTATGACTTTAGAGCATCTGCAATGCAGTATTCCATAGCCTTACTGGTACCACTATGCAATGTACAGGGGGCCCTCAACGCAGGCATGTCCAGCAAGAGAAGGACAGAGAGTTCCCCTTCACTCGAGCTTCTAACACCATCCTGCCTTTTTTTGATACGGGCTGCAGATATAGGATTTACCATCTTTGTGGCCAACCCCCTGCTGCTCGCAGGGCTCATACAGCAACCCGCGTAGCCCAGGTACACTTACAAGCTTTGTTTTTTCAAAGATGCGAAGCAGTCTTTCACACGCCTTGGCACCTGGAGTGGTCAGCACCTGAGCGTGTCTCGAGGTGTTTGGACAGCAGAAGTAGCGCATCATTGTCGAGGCTTTGAGGGGCCTTTGCAGGCAGTCTTCAAGGATGGAGACATGTGCCATGTGCTCAGACACCATGAAGATGGAAATGTGAGACGGCGTCTCTGCCTGAAGGTTATGGTGGGCCGGCACGAAGCTTGAGGGTGATCTTTGAGTGTGGTGCTGAAGAGGACGCGAGGGTGAAGGGGAGGCGCGTGTTCCTGCAACTGAAGTCGCTTTCGTTTTGAGGAAGTGGTGGATGTCAGCGAGCCCTCGCGTTGCAGCTACCAGGAGCCAAGCTATGAAGCTCCCCTCCGCCCCCCTTCCTCTCTAATCGTCTTCCTTCATCTCCTGAAACTTACCTACGCTCGGCCCTTTGCATTCGTGGTTTCAGGCCCTGGTTCGTCACGCAGGCGCCTGTGAAGAGCACACTGAGGAGCCTCGGCTTCGACATCCCAAGGACGGAACAAGACTAAGAAGACCGTCAGACTTCTTGAAGTTTGCATGCTGAACTGCCTCAGGAGGAGCTCTGAGGGGCCTGGTGACGGTGACGGGGAGGGGCCTGCCGCACTGCCAGCTGCTAGGACTCGGGAAAGGGAAAAAACGATCTCAGCAGAGCCTTTTGCAGAGTTTTTTTGCAAGTTCCTTCGGCTCAGCGGCTTAGCTTCTGGCTTTGGAGCCACGGAGCCACGGGCCTAGGCGTCTAGAAAGTCCAAACCACATGCAGCCCGAGTAACCTCTCAGGGGGGCCCGCGTTGGGCGTGGCCTTGAAGTCCAAGAGAAGACAGGCAGTGAACAGGTGAACACAGGTGAACAGGGTGAACAAAATGTGAGAAAGACAGCAAAAAGAGTTGCGTGCAGTGCCACGTGGCCCCCCCCCCACGTGATGGTGCTTTGGAGATGGCTCCTTTTCACCTTTGCTGAGCCCTCGGCTCTCCCAAGCTCTCCCAAAACACCCCAAAGCGATGAAGCTCAGGCTGGTGCGTTTCTGGCGAAGCTGACGAAGGGAGATGTGTACCTTCACAACCCGCGTGGCTCCAACAACAAGCACGCAGCTCATTCGGAAGCTTTAAGCTTTTTGCTTTGCATTTTCATATCATGCAAAGCTGCATGCTTTGCATGCCTAGGCTAAGCGAACAGCAGAACAATGCGCAGAACCGGCTTGGGCCTGAAAGCAGATCCTCAAAGCAACTGAATCAAAACTAGATCTGTGCTTAGGAACCGGCTCTTCGATTCTCAGAACAATGCTCAGGGTAGGGACCCCATGTGCTGCTTTGAATTTCTCTTTTTGAATTCCTGGGAGGTGGCTACCAGGTGGGCGACAACTGCCAGAACGCCTGTCAGGACTCGAAAAAAGAGCTCTGTTGGTGTGGATGCCGCGGACTCGCGGACTTCCTGTTGGCCTCAAGGATGAAAACCGGGATTACGATGCCAGCAAAACTGGGGCCATGAAGGCCGCAGTGGCTACGGCCACGGCCACGGCGTGCAATCCTGTGCTTCACTGGCCACGATCCTGTGCCAGGGTCATATGACCTACTACCAGGGTTCTGAGCTTTACATCGAGTGGGCCTGGGACTTACGAGGGAACCCTTCCAACTAGAAATACTTAGGAGATGTCGCCATGGGGCGTCCGCTCTTGTCACTTGCCCTGTAAAACCCAAACCTCAAGCATGGGAAGGAAGCTGAAAGAAAGTTGACTCCAGGCTTAGCGTGAGTGTTGGCATTGGCTTTGTCTACCAGAGGGCAGGGCGGGTGGCACGAGTGGTGGAGAGAACGGGAGATCCGGAGAAAACGGCAGAAGAGTTTGGAGAAGGCAGGAACTTGGTTGGCGAATCGGATGTTTAATGTGGCACTGCAAAAGCTGTTGCGCTGTGTTTGACGGACTTCAAGCTTCTGAAATCTCGGACTGTTACAAGTGGTGCGGGGGCTCTGAAGCATCCAAACATGCTGCAAGCTGGACACGTGAGTAGCGAAGATCGCCCGAAGAACAGAGAAGCCACGTACTATCAATGCACAGACGAACCCCTGCAGCGCCCAGCCGCAGAATATCTCTGCAGTGCCCCTCCCTGCCAACCGCAGAGTGCTCAACAGTAGAGTATCCCCGCAGTGTCCACCCGTAAAATATCCCAGCAGTGTCCAGCTGCAGCATTTCCGTGCAGCGCATTGCCGAGTATCCCCGGGGAGCTCGACTTTCAGGTTAAGTCCTTATGCTCCTTCGAAGCTGAGAAGCTGTTGTCGCCCGGCACCTTGGTAAAGTGCACTTTGACTTTTTTGTGCGCTTTACCATCTTGCAGAAATGCTGGTGTATCCATCTTCATGCAAGGTTCATGTAGTCAATGATGCATTGGCCATGCATCATCTACATCATACATTGCGCTCGTGGAAGCCTTGCTGCTAAGGGTAGTTTCCCGCCTGATCACGTCATGCCTGAACCTGCATCTGGTACCGTAGGTGCATCGGCCGAATGCCCAACGTCTACATGGGAGAGAGGTATCAAACTTTTCACGGTAAGGCCTCTGATCAGCTCCCTCGCCAGGTAGAGGTGGAAATCTCCCTTGGGCAGGTGGTTGATTACTAGACGGATTATCCGACTGATTTTGATCTTCAGGATCATCTGTCTGATCTGGATCTTTGGGATTTTCAGAGAGACGCATGTCATCAGGTCCCTGAAGGAGTGGGTAATGATCCCTGAACCTTATTACCGTGAGACTGTCGACTATGTCTCCTTTCTCCATCTGGTAGAGAACTTGCTTCGGGGCAACCATTATGCCGAACATTCTTGACTCACCCAAACCTCGTCTTCATTAGGATCTCATATTCCATAACCTTAGCAATCACGATGTCCCCCTTACGCAAAGGTAATGGTTCCCACTCTGACTCAGGGGACTGCTTTGAACTGTCGCCTTTATCCTGTGGTGCAGGCTCATCCTGTTCCACTATCCGAAAGCTTGACCCAGGCAAAATCCTGACGAACAGAAACTATCTTCCCATCATCTTGATCTCCTACTTGAAACAATTTGGTGTTGCCAGTGGTTTGGGAGCTGCATTCCGCCCTATCGACACGAGCTGATAGATCATTCTTCCTAGAGATTACCTCCTGACCACCGTCATCCCAGTATGGGTTCTCACCGATGTCGAGAACAACCAAGCAATACCTGAGTCCTACTGCCCTGCGGGATGGATCTGCAGCGAATCCGCGGCATGATGCCCATTTAGGAAAAACCAAACAGACCCTTCTTCTCCCGACCAAAGCTCAACGTTGCCATGGAGCACGTCATCTGTGGCATCACCTTCCCCTTTTGGTTGTTGATTATTCTGCCTATTATGACTCTTATGACTAGCAGGAGGTACACTTGTGTTACCAACTGTTCCACTGGTCGGACTTCCGCCTTGACCTCCTCCTGTACCGGAGGGTTTTCATGGGCCGCCAACCCGTCCAGCTGATCAATCGCCGGAACTGAAGGCTCCAGAACATTGTGGGCATGAGGATTTCCATCAGGCGCCCGGGGAGTGCTGTGGTTCTACCTTCTCCCACTCTGGGATGCTGTGTCTACGGAGCGCGAAGCAGCTCTAGCTTTACCCATGAGGTTACACTATCCAAGTGATGCCACAGCCTGTTGGCCTGCCCTTTCAAATTTGTCAAGGGCCTAAAGAGCTCACACCTCCTGAAACAGGCGTGCCTTACTGACATCCTTTTGCAACCTGACATTCCTCACTTCCCAAGAGTCAGATTCAATTGGGTCAGTTGACCACTCTATACCAACACCCCTTCAACGAAGGAGTCGCCCCTTCAACGAAAGAGCCGCCCGCTGATGCCTTCTTCCCATTGAAAGGGGAGCCCAGGCGAGGCGATATAATCACGGCCGTCCAAGGGGGCAGCCAGTTGACAAACCCATAACGGGGCACCAACGCCCAACTCATGGAAGGTATCGTGGTTGTGAGTGTAATGCCTTGATCCTTGCCGGACCACTCACTGGGTCGGTGTCAATCCCCGTCTCCTAGATCCTACGAAGAACATCAGGAGCACGGAAATACATTTCTTCCATATACTTTGTAATGAGTGAAAGAAATGTACTCAACTGGACCCAGACGTGGCAACTCAACACGATGCTCTGTCCTGAGATTTCGACCTTGAGCAAACTGACTGGCAGTAGGTTGAGTAGCACTGGTGATACCTGGATCCTGGCCTTGGCTAGTCGCCTCCTGACTCCCAGAACCACTTTCTGCGAAACCCATAGACGTTGGCTGGGCTTCCTTCCCGGACAGCCTTTCCCAGCGACGAGCGACGAGCGTTTGTGCCAGGCCCTGCGTCCTCAGCTGAAGTCATGCCCTGCGCTGTGAACCTTTGTAACTTATAGTACTGGCCACTAACAGCATCACCAGCCGATTTACGTTTAGCTGTGCTTGGTAGCCTTTCCTTGTTACCGGCTGTAAGAGAGCCTTGCTGGGTATCTGAAGTGGTGCCTGGTGGCAAACTCCTCAACTAGCAGTTTCTTGTTTATCTCAACGCATTGTTGAACCCCTTTATTGGTTCCTGTGGAAGACCTTGGTTTACTTGAGTTCGAGCTTTCAACAGAAGAACCTTTTGATGGGGGTGGAGGTGGTGGATGGTCTGGAGCGTTGTTCACAACTACCGTCCTTTTCGACACCAGGCATTGGAGGTAGAGGCGGACGATCTCTCGTCCTTCGCGCTGCAAGTTCGTCGGCCAATGGAGATGGAGGATACGGTGGAGGGCAAATTTGAGAAGCTTCAAAGCACGATGGAGGGGGTGGAGGAAGTGGAACAGCTACATTACTACGGCCGCGAGCCGAAGTAGCGTCTTCCCTGTTTACCAAGCCCCTGCTTAAAGTTTCCATCTCTACTTCTCGTTGAAGTAGCTCGTTCTTCAGCTCCTAAGGCCGTAGTGCCCTGATTGCCTCCTCAACTGGATTGTTTCCCTCTGCTTCAGCCCAGGCACATAATAATTCAAACAGAGATGGATTAGGAGGTAATCCTTTCACGAATGGTGAATTGTCGTCCATCTGTTTTCTTGGTCCGTGGACATAGCAGGGACTGCAGCTTCTACCCCATACATGCCGACTGGGAAACCTGGCACACTTGCGCCAGAGGCGTAGCGCTTGTCCTACAAGCCTGACCCACTATGGGCCTATCGCTGGCTTGACCTGGAACTGGTGCGAAACCACCGCACCCAGTATCATACAGTGTAATCACTCGGGCTTAGCCCTTGCAGGATTTTCCAGAGGAGCAATGACCGCTACCGTTCAACACGGGATGTGCAGGTTGGATAGGGGTACTCGGCGGCTTAGGGTTTGCGTTACCGGCCAAACCACTACCATAGCCTACTCCAGTACCTCCAACACTACAGTCCACACTGGACTCACCGGGAAAGGGCGTGCGCCTACCATTTTCCAACAAACTACTACTGTCTGATTACGCTACCAGACAGCGGATAACATCCGCCTACCTGTACGATGCGGGCGCACTATTGGCAGCCGCTCCGCCTGTGCAAGATTCGACGTACACTGGACTCAC